TCAAAATTTAGTTATCATCGATAACTCGTGGATTAATAAAGATTTTATTAATGGATGAATTTTAAAAGATTTGGATGAATTTCAAGCTTAAAAATACATGTAACCAAATCCTTTGAAATTTCACCATATTTAATGAAATTCTAATGAAATTTATGGAAATCTATTCAAATACACGAAATTCATTAGGATTTATAATCTTTTAAAATCCACCAAAATCTTAGTTGAGGACACCCCCGTGAATAAGGGAGTTCCTCATAATCAGAGGTTCAATCAGGCATTGCATCTATTTGAGGCCAACTAGGCTTTCATGATTAACGCATGCCTCTGTAGAAAACTCTATGCAATTAATATCAATTTCTGTTATAGGTTCCTCTTCCTCTTCGAAATTGTACCATGCCAGCTTGTTTTTGTTTACTTCCAAAACCATTGTACTTTTACTCTTTGAATGGTCAATGAGTCTTATGTACATGTAATTCGTACTTGTCTGAGTAAAGATTTTAGTCCAAGATTTCTTGATTCTGTAATCCTTCATCACCCACAATTCATTACTGTATTTAGAATAATGGTAGCAAAACAAACAAAGGCAACCATGAACAGTCCCCAAGATCTTCTCGCAAGTTGGATCAGATAAGTCAAAACAAGGGACAAATATAACTTCATCTTTTGCAAGATCAAAAGCCACAATGAGACTTTCATAATCAGTGTAATCCACCAACCCGCAAGCGCTCCTTTCCCCCATCCAGTGTACGACACCGCTAACAAAAATGTCATAATTGCAATGATGACTTGTGTGCAGAATGACAGAATTGTTGTAACAATTCAAGTTCAATGAAACTCCAACACTCTTCCATGAATCTGATTCCAAGCTGTAAAACTTACAAAGAGGACATACTAGTTTGAAACGCTTACTTGCCATTATCAACCTAATTATCTTGTAGCCATCCTTAGTACTATCGTACCCAAACCTATATTTAAGTAATCAGTGACGACTGAAAGGCCAGCGGAATATTCAACTTCTGAATATGATAACTCAAAGTATTTGTAGGTCGCTAAATTCCACAAAACTATATGATTAGCTGAATCAACAAAACAAAGAAGATCAGTGCAAGAACCTACCAAATTAACCGTTTACTTTCTCGGCCTACGTTTGAATCTATTACCAAAGGGTTGATCTAGTTCCTCAGTGCGATCGTATCTATGACCAAATGGGTGATCTAGTTCCTCGGCGGCTCTAATGGCAACTCCAAATAAATCCAAGTGCAGCGAGACAAAATTAATATCAGTCCTCCGATTAATTACCTCTACAGTGAAGCCCACTGTAATTGATCTGTCCATATGAATCTTGATGAGGTACGAAGAGTCGATAATAGTTCGACATTGTTTTGATACACACCTAAAACGCAAAATCGACCGCACCAACAACCTTGATTGGACTTCCTCCACCAAATCTTGTGGGATGTAGAAAATTTTTCAGGGTTCGAAAAATTTATAAAACGATATATTAAATTTGAGTAAGCAAATTGAATGCCAAACCTTGTGGATATTTTTTACAATTGCATCATAAGGTTGAAATTTCTACACCGGGGTTCCACTTCCTGCAATAAAAGAAATGTATATCATCAATAAGAGAGAAGAATGAACAAAAATATAAA